GAGACGGGGTTTCACCATGTTGACCAGGATGGTCTCGATCTCTTGACCTCATGATCCACCCGCCTCAGCCTCCCAAAGTGCTGGGATTACAGGCGTGAGCCACCGCGCCCGGCCAGAACTAGCTTGGGTAAAAACAATGAAGCATAGAAATTTAGAAAGGGGTTATTACTGAAAACCACTATTAGGAGGACATATTTCCTCCAGTGACAAATTTTTCATATGAATGTAACTTTTAAAAATTCTCATCTCCCCTAAAAATGTCCAATTTGAGATTTTGTGATCTACTTATTAATGATCTTATTTTTCTAAAGTAGTACTTTTGTCTTAAATGTTTCTTTTACCAGATTAGAAATCCAGGTTAAATTTTGTTTTGCACCAAAATATTATTGCCAAGAAAACTATATAGTCCAAGCAAAGCCATTTCTGTACATAGGATTTGTAATGTGCTGTGATTATACTGTTATCCAGATGATTTATGATTGGGGAATTTGAGGGAATAGTAATTCTTAACACCTTTCATCCCAAAAGGTAGTTATACTTCTGAAGAAAAATTTAATCAAAATCGATTGATCTTTTTTTTTTTTTGCCCCTAGTCCTCAAACCCTTTTGGCTGGCATGAATAAATTTTTGTCTCAGCTTGAAATTACATTCAGAAGAGATCCAAACAACTATAGACCACGAATAAACAAACTTAATTCAATTAAGGTATGTGGAAAAACTGTCTTAAATCATGGATCACTTTGATCTCAGTATAAACGATTGAAAGTGTATTTAAAAATCAGTACCACATGGCCAGGCACAGTGGCTCACACTCATGATCCCAGCACTTCAGGAGGCCAAGGCAGGCAGATCACTTGAGGTCAAGAGTTTGAGACCAGCCTGACCAATGTGGTGCAACCCCATCTCTACTAAAAATGTAAAAACTAGGCAGGTCTGGAGGGAGGCACCTGTTAACCCAGCTACTCGGGAGGCTGAGGCAGGAAAATCGCTTGAACCCAGAAGATGGAGGTTATAGTGAGCTGAGATCATCCCACTGCACTCCAGCCTGGGCAACAGAGTGAGACTCTCTCAAAAAAAAAAACCCAACACCATATTTTAAAATTTCTATGTTTTTTACATTTTGAGACCTGATGACATACTTCAATCTGCAATAGGCAGCAATTGTGATGTAGCTATCATTGCTACATGAACTCAGAGCTATTCCTATTGTCTCTTTAAGTTGTATCACAGTTGCACTACCTATATTGATTGCCATCTAAAATGTCTTGGGAAAGATTACACTAATTAGAGAATTTTTAAAAACCAGAAAATAAAAAGATTACACTAATTCACCATTGAAACAAAAAATTTTTAAAGTATGCCTTAACCAGTTTCTCTGTTACATTTTTCAATACATGATTGAAAGGCATATTTTAAAAGTCTAAACAAGCACCTGTGATGAGGAAAACATTGTGTCTACTTAACTGGCAATGTTTTTTTGTCTTTGTGGTACACAGTTGTGCACCTACAGTTGATTTCCTCTGTAAAATACAGTATTTGTTTAATAGAAGGCAAAAATCTTAGTCATTCAGAAACGGAGAGTAAATGAACTCTAGAATAGCATTTGTTTTTAATATCTGCAGTGCCTCAAAGTGTTTACATTTTATCACTCTATATCCATCTTCATGCTTAAAAGCTCTAGAAGTATGTTATACATACTTGTGCTTTAGCGTTTATTTTCATATTTGCAGTCCTACCTTTGCTGCTAAACCATGAGCTCTAGGAATGCCAGAGGCAAAGTTACCTTGCACATCATTGTATTTTTAAGCATCTAATGCAATGTCGGGATAACTTACGCTTTATTACATATTTTGTTTTTAAATGATTGATATTACTCCTTGGCCAGGATAAATGGTAAGTTCTGACATAAAATTGAAGAGTTTTTCTCAGTTTTGAAAAGCAAATTGGTTACAAAAGAATAATGTCTTCTGAAGCATTAAGGACACTTGCATTGTCATTTTCTTTGATAGACTCATGGTTCAGTTACCAGGTGCACCTGTTAATTATTTCTGTATACCTACTCATCTTAAGATAGTCATACCTTAATCCTAGCTAAACAAAATAAGAGGATTAAGGCATGACAACAATTAGGTAGGTAAGATTGTTACTGGCCAGTATGGAAAAAACTTTTTTTTTTTTTTTTTTTTTTTTTTTTTTTTTTTTTTT